CAGACGCAGCAGCAAAACAACGGCGCATCAAGAAGAAGATACAAATCAGAAACGGAGTCGCTACCCGTTCTGGATGGAGGGGCAGACAGCGCGTTGCATTATAGAACGTCAGAAAAGGCTCCATTACAACGATACCACCAGTGCGAGCTTAAAATCGGAAATTGGAAACTATTCTCACTTAGAGAGAAAGAGCAAAATTTAGTTGATGAGGCCACAGAGTACCAACTCGACATTATTGGACTATCGTCAACGAAAAGTTAAGGCTCTGGAATCCCGAACCTCTGCGATTGGAAGCTATTATACTCACGTGTCGATAAAATGACGCGCTTTCAGACCAGTTTTGCTATCATAGTAGACCCGAAGCTCACAAACAGAATTGTTGAATAGAAGCCCGTTAGAGGAAGGATGGTAATCATTCGACTGAAAGTACAACAGGCTAAAGCGTTAACACTGGTACCATTTTATGCGTCCAATTGGAGGGAGAATATGATACTCTCCTTGAAGAAGTCCAGCGCGATACGTCCGAAGTGCCGAAAGCAGAGTCCATCAAACTCATGGGCGATTTTAATGCGCAGGTCGGAGCAGACGATGAAAAGCAGAATTATGTGATTGGAAAAAACGACCCTAGCGTCCTCAACAAAAACTGCATGAATTTGTCGCGGTTTTGTGCAAACAACGGATTGTCCATCATGAACAACTTCTTCGAGCATCGAAAAATGCATCAGTACACCTGGTACCGAGAAGTATGTGCAAAAAAGTCGATGATTGATTTGATAATCGTATAATATGACTCAAAACGTTCAGTAATGGATGTTCGCGCTAAAACAGGCGAGCAGTTATCAACCGATCACCACCTTATTGTTGGCACGCTGCGCTATAAGAAACGGAGCACCATACGTAGATCTGGTGGCAGAAGCAACCGGAGAGTCAAATGAGAAACACTGTCTTCGGTGGTCACGAGAGCGAAATTTGGAAACAACATCGCACGACGGTTTGAACAGATCCCAGCGATGACAACTGATGTTGAAACCGAGTGGCAGTTGTTTAAAAGAGGCCTGCTTGAAGCTGCCGCCGAATGCAGCAGATATAAACGGGTTGGTCTGCCGCCTGGAGATCAGAAGATCTTCATGGTCGAAACGAGAGGTACAACAGGCAGTCAAAGAGAAGGCAGCGTTCAAGAAATGGCTTGGAAACAAAGAGTCTTCTACTCGTGCGCGATATGTCGAGGCACGCAAGGCGGCAGCGAAAGCAGTGGCAAAAGCCAAAGCTGATTCCTGTGAATTCGGTGAGGAGTTGGAGTCGAGTTTCAACAAGGCAAACAAGGTATTCTGGCACACCATTCGCCGGCTCCGAGGTGAAAAGAAGGGCAGTGTAAGTCTTGAATCCCAGGTCTGGACATCCTCTTACCAAAGATGAGGACATTCTTCGGCGATGGAGTGAGGACTCTGAGGAACTCCATAACTCTGAGCAACTGCAGGAAGACTCGCCTCTAGAGCAGAACGGAATCGATATTTCTATCTCTGTATATGAAATTACAGAAGC